TGGCACAGCCTTTCGGCGTTTGTGGGGATCGGCTTGGCGAAGCCGCAAAACGACGCGTACCCCAAAGGATAAACCTTCCGAGTTTGAAGTTAGAATTCCCTGTCCACATCTACCGGCCTCACCTGTTATTGTGGCATTGAATTTATCTTGTACGAAGATTTAAACGTCAACGTTTGACTTAGCCTACTACATACGTCCAGTGCACTGCACCTAGATATATCTTGATACTAACTACTATATCGCTACTAACTGGCCCTATAGTGGAAGATTAACTACATAGGTCTTATCAAGTAGAAGCAACAAATCCGAAGTCCAAAAATTCCAAAATGTTAAAGTGAATCAAAAAGCAAAATTGCCAAATGTCTCGGTGGAAGTCCATTATCCAACATCATTCTCCCAGGCCCCCTGCATCAGTAGAAGTTTGAGCTAGATGCGCTTCACTTCGATGTCCATGTGGACACTATGACCAGCCGGGACAGAGAGAGTTACGCGTCCTGGCTCATAACATGACATTTACCTCCGCCGGTGCCCTTACTGTCACCGTTGTTTTTCTTGCCGTCATTGGTGTAAGGGGTGTTGCTGTTGCCTCGAGGGCTCTCGATGCTCCGAGCGCGGGGCCCCTTAGGTTGCTGGCGGTTCTCGTCAATGGCTGCACTGTTGTTTCTGCTGCGTCGAGGCTTCTTAGGTCGCTGGTGATCCTTATCAATAGTTGTTGCCTCCAGGGCGCTAGATGCTGTGAGGGCAGGGGACTTTGGGTTTCCGGCGCTCCTTATCAATGGCTGCATCGTTGCTTCTATTACCATACTTTGTGCAAGATCCTTTGCTGTTGCCTCGACAGCGCTCGATATTGTGAGGATGGGGATCCTTATCAATGGCTGTTTCGTTGTCTCTGTTGCTGTCCTTAGTGGAACGGCCCGACCTGCTGCCACGAGCGCGCTGGTTGCTTTGAGACCGAGTAGTGATAGGATAAGAGTTCCTACCTCTCGTGGGATACCCTTCCACTATCATTGACTAGGATCTTCGCGGCTGTGGTATCACTACCTGATCCCATTCAGGTGAAGGATGCATGATGCGATTTCGTGCAGGACGAGGTGGCGAGGCACAACAGTAATGATAAGCGACTTCCCATGGAGCCATTTTAGCTAGATGAGAGGTGGGAAAGGTGAAGCTGTTGAAATGAGTGCCGTAGTAATATAAACAACCAATAGCAAATGTGAACTCGTCGGAGTTAGGACTAATAAAGCAAATAGTATAAGTATCACTTGAGGACACCACTGCCGATGGGTCATGTTGCGATACAAATAAAGAGATATATGAAAGGCAAGCATAGGAAATATTCGAAACATCGTAGCGCAGGTAGGATCATTACACTAACCTAAGGAATATATAGTGGACGTTGACATGGGTTTTCCACATCAAGGTCTCTGGTCCCAACGGGGTATGAATATGATTTATGAAAGCTGGTATTTTTATATCAAGATGGTGTAGGTACCAATTGAGCACTGGTATAGGGTATAGAAGATTGACAAAGACAAAATAGGAAGAGACCTGGTGCATATTACCGATGAGTATGTATGAGTATATTTGTACCTCTGAAAAGTGGGACTGACCTGTCATTTATACACAGAGAAAGTCCCATGAAAGGATCGCATAGAAGCATACCAAAGAAGGTGGGTGATGTACATGGAAATTGATTGAGGTCCGAACATATTTATGCCTAGGGCTATATACTGTGGCAAGACTAATTATCAGCAAGGCGATCCCCCAATGGAATCCAAAGTCCACCACTGCCATCAAGGGTTATATCATCGGCGCGGAAGATATCCGTGTACTCCGTACAAGGAAGACATCGGACATGCCCCGAGAACCCCACCCCGGCGATCATAGCGATACAATCACCGACCTAACTGGGGTAACGAACGTACATCTATCCTTATTTGCGAAGAGTCAGCCAAAATGCCAGTTTATCACATTGGTTAGTTGGACGCAGCTGAGTATCAAAAAGACACGAAACAGACCTCGATCACTAACGAAGCTCAAGTCCTCTTCCGCCTCAAGCCCGGCGTCACCCCAGCGCAGATTACCACCTGGAAAGAGACATGCCAGGGAATGGTGGGGAAGATTCCTGGTATGTGAGACGCTGAAGCTCGATTGGGACGTAGTCTCATAGAAATCTTGCAATAGGACTGCTGTCGCTGCAGAGTGGTCCCCCGCTGCCGATTTCAATTCCCCGTGCCCAAGGCTTCGATATGGGACTTGTTGCTGTTTTGGAGACGGCTGAACATATCGCTACCTATGCGGTGCATCCTGCTCATCTGGAGTAAGTTTTCGTTGTCGTTCGAGTCAGGGGCCGTGGGCTGACTTGTTGGCACCTTGAAGGGTTCATAAAATGCGAGAGGAGCTGTGCGACGATACTTTGGCTTATGATCTAGAGTTCTAGGTGTCTGATATACCAAGCGATACAGGCACATCTAGTCCCAACGTACTACCAGACTTTCGAGAATGGGAAGAATTTTGAGAACAGTCCGTTCAAAAGTCTCATTTGTACATATCAAACCCTAGGCCCTGGTTAATCGTAGCCACCGAGGCCTGCCTAGCCAACCCGTAGATGCTCGTAATGAAATGACATAACGCCGAGAGAAGGTTCACCTGTATGAAATAATCGGAAAACAGAGGCAGGTCGGATCTCCAATCCGCAATACTTTTGAAATCCCGCCGATCGACCGAATCAGAGAACAAGAATTAAAGACAAGACAAGTCATTGCAATCCGCCGAAACTGGATACCTTATTCCTTGGCATCCACCTTCTTGGCAGGGTGATCACCACCGTTGGTGCCCTCATCCTCACGAGAGCGCTTCTGGGTGCTCTGCACGACCGGGACGCCACTATAATTAAAGTCAGTACTTATACACTCACTGCAAATATCGGATCAGTTCGACTTACCGAGAGTCCTTCTGGGCCTCACGGGGAGCCTGGAAGCCATTCTTCTGGTCCTCGGTGCGGCGTTCGCGCCAGTCGCGGTCGTTGCGGTCGTTGCGGTCACGACCATCACGGCCGCCACGGCCACGGCCACCACCACGACCGCGACCGCCGCGACCACCACGACCGCCACGTCCACCACGGCCGCCGGTGTTGCGAGCGTTGGAGGGGTAGACGTTGCCATTCTTGATCTCCTCGACCTTCTCGTCGCAGTACTCCTTCTTGCTCTTGAAGACCAGATCATTCTCCTTCCACTGGGGCTTCTTCTCCAGAGCGAGGAATGCCTTCTGCTTCTCCTCAGACGCAAACTCAACAAAGACGCTGCCCTTGAAGGTCCTGTCGTTGGTGCGGCGCAGGCGGATGGCATTTGTTGGACCGTAGGGGGCGAAGAGAGCCTCGATATCGAGCTGTGTAGTGGGCTCTTCTTCACCAAAGCCGAAGCCCTTGGCGTAGATGGAGCGGGCCATGGCGGCATCCTCGAAGACCTTGACGGCCTTGGCATCGTGCTCGTTTACGGACTCGGGCAGAGGGACCTTGCGCTTGACGGCGGTGTCGTTCTCAGTCAGCTCGACATTCTCGGCGGTCTTGAGGGCCTCAACAATCGCGCTGAAGGGTTGGAAGCGGCGCATGCGCTTGAAAGAGTGAAGGAGCTCAAGGGGCACGGCGTTGTTGGCGCTGCCGCCAACCTTGGAGAGCAGGAACTTGTCCATAGGGAGGTTGGAGTCGGAGAAGTAGAATTCGACCTAGGGTGTACACGTCAGTTAAGATCTAGCGGGGAAGCCTTTCCAATGGTTCATACCTGCTTGCGGATCTGCACAGGGTCGTCGGTTACCTCCTGGGTGGAGGGATCGAACTTGGCGTTGTTCTGGCGAGGGCCGCGGTAACCGTGGCCATCGCGCTGGAAGGTGCGGGTCTCGCGCTTCTCAGTCTGGGGCTCTGTGGCTTTCTCCTCGGCCTTCTCAGACTTCTCTCCGAGCTTAGCAGCTTCGGCGACAATGCGGGCCTCATCGGCGTCCTGAGCGGGCTGCTCGGCGGCGCCTTCCTCCTTCAGCTCAGCGAGAACATTCTGAACATCCTTTTCAGCCTCGGCATTGACAACAGGGGTCTTTTGTTCTTCGGCCATAGTTGCGAATTGTATGTGGAGACTATTGCAGACGTTGAAAAAAAGATGATAAGCAGGAAGATTCGACGCGACGGAGATGCCAGAGAAAGCAGAAAGTGCAGGCGAACAAGGGATCGGAGGAGATTTATGAATAATCTGGGGACATATGCTAACGATACCTCTATAGATTGATCAACGCGCTATTCGGAATGCTATTGCGCTTGTGACAATATCGCAGCGGGGAGAATCTGGGAATTTTTTTTTAGCTCCAGTGGCGCCTGAGGCATACGCTAGTCTGCAATTGGCTAGCGTGTATTCGAACTATTCCCTTTTTGGGCATTTGAACGTTGTGTATACATTGTATTCTATTGTCTGCATTGTATCTAAAGAATTAGGATGACAATAAATGAACAGAAGTAGAATAGAAATTTTCTCAGACGGAAGTATCAGTCTGACCGCAGTACCTGCATTATGTACTCATACTTTCCGTCAACCTCGTCAAAGTGCAAGGACCTGAGACGCATTGCACCTTCCCAAAGGCCTTGACCAAGTGCTTCCAAGGTTGATTGATATGCTGACTTCATTTCCCTCCCTTTCCCCGGAGGGGCCTCATTTCGTACTCATTCTGTCACGGAGCACGCAGTCTTATCAAATATCAACAAATCCATGAATATCTTCAGTTGAATATTCTTCCCAGGACGATTGTAATCTGGGTATGCCGTTCACCCCAGGATAGAAACAGTATCAGGCTTGAGTCGTAAGTAGCCGTCTGTCACATTTGAGATCCCCAATTCCGCTAACACAATACGTGATGTCAAGGCCGTTATTCTCCATATACAATACGTCTGGACCCTTCAACTCACTTGAAGTGCTGTTTTCGACATTCAACAGGCTAGGAAGCAGGTTCGCCAAGTCAAAATGATCGTATCACAAAGGGGTTCGTTGTCTGACGAGACCTGGCCGACCAAAGACGTATGCTCTCCCCCCTCTGGGATTGGGATGAATCCTAACCATCCTCGACAGATAATCTACCTCTCAATTGTCGGCCCATTGATGCTCGCTGCCCTGTTCGAATGGATTCTCTGGCTAAGCGCCTTTATCTACTGCCTGATCAAGGTGTGGATGAAAGCAGACCATTGGAGTATAAGAGTTCTGGCCCTGGTGATGATTTTCTTGTTCACGGCGATAAGGTAGGTTTTCTTCAACATCAGGGGCTCGTTAACTAGCAGCTTCATTAAGAGTCCTCCACTGACGAACATGTATGATAGACTGGCATTCCTTCCAGTTATGCTCGTGACACTGCCGTTGCCACCACAGATCACGGTTCACTTACCCCACGAAATAGTGCATGGGTTTCAAGTGTTCGCATTTTGGGCTTTTTCAGCTCTTCTGGTCGGCCCCTGGCTATTTTGTGTTTACGGTCTCACTACCAATTCACTGGGGAGGAAAAAGAGGATCAAACGAGTGCTGGATGATAGGACGGCCCCGAAGACTGTCGTTGTGATGCCGGTATATAAGGAAGACCCAAGTGTCTTGATCAAAGCCATCAACTCTGTGGTTGACTGCGACTATCCTGCAAATTGCATCCATGTCTTTCTCTCGTACGACGGTGGCAAGGTGGACGAGCCGTACCTCCGTGTCCTCGACCACCTCGGTATTCCGATCACACTGGAGAGCTATCCTCAGAGCATTGACTGTATTTACAAGGGTGCACGGATTACGGTGTCTCGATTCAAACATGGCGGTAAAAGGCACTGCCAAAAGCATACTTTCAAGCTTATCGACAAGGTTTATGCTGAGTACCTGAAGAGACATGACAATCTGTTCGTTCTTTTCATAGATTCCGACTGCATTCTTGATCGAGTTTGCTTGCAGAACTTCATGTACGACATGGAGCTTAAGCCAGGCAGCAAACGGAACATGCTTGCAATGACGGGCATCATTACGTCGACGACGGAGAAAAACAGCTTGCTGACGATTCTTCAAGACATGGAATACGTCCATGGTCAGCTTCTTGAACGATCCGTTGAGTCTGGCTGTGGTGCGGTGACCTGCCTCCCTGGAGCTTTGACTATTTTACGCTTCTCCGCTTTCCGTAAGATGGCCAAGTATTACTTTGCGGACAAGGCTGAGCAATGTGACGATCTCTTCGACTACGGCAAATGTCATCTTGGGGAGGACCGATGGCTCACTCACCTGTTCATGATTGGCGCCACGGAGCGGTATCAAATTCAATTATGTATGAGCGCCTTCTGCAAGACCGAAGCCGTCCAGACCTTTAGTACTCTCTTGAAGCAACGCCGGCGATGGTTTTTAGGTTTCATCACTAACGAGGTTTGCATGCTCACTGACGTCCGGCTCTGGGTGCGCTATCCCCTTCTGTGTCTGGTTCGATTCATGCAAAACACGATCCGAACGACCGCTCTGCTCTTCTTCATCATAATCGTCTCACTGCTTACAACATCAAAGAAGGCAAAGGATCTTCCTGTAGGATTCATGGGGGTCTCCTTGGGGTTAAATTATTTACTCATGCTTTACTTTGGCCTGCGTCTCGGACGCTATAAAGCCTGGCTTTACCCAATCATGTTCATCGTGAATCCGTTCTTCAACTGGGTCTACATGGTCTATGGTATTTTCACAGCCGGTCAGCGAACTTGGGGTGGACCACGGGCCGATGCTGCCACTGCTGATGACCATACCACGCCAGGAGAGGCAGTTGAACAAGCAAAAGAGCAGGGCGATGAGTTCAATGTGAATGTCGATACCTTCCGCACTGGCATTGTACGCCGGAGATCCGTCCCTGTCCGCCCATCGGAGAACGTGGAAGGTCGACTTGCACCTGCCAAGCAGATGCTTGACGGGTTCCATGTCAACACTGCCGGCCCTGGGCCCGCACTTGCACGAATGGTCAGCGCGATGGAAGATCCCGAAAAATCCAAATACCAGTTACCTCCTCTCTTTCGCCATTCGACGGATTCTGTGGTCAGTGCATCATCCGATTGCGGCTCTAGCTCGATTGCCACGCCACAGAATGTGGACAACCTCCTGATGAGTGAAGAAGACCAAAAGAAGCTCTATCATGTCCGCCAAGCCCGGGCATCAACGGGCTCGGTGAGCGTCGACGGTCACACTTCGGAGAACCGCTTTGATGATGGAGTCACTCCGCAGCCTACGGGTTCTGCATCCGAGCACGATGACCTGGGACTCACCCACCCACCAGCAACATACAAGACTGGACGCTCTGAAAACATTCCTCCGGTCTAGAGAGAGCCAGAACGAATGGTGCCGAGCTACTTGGCGCCGACTCCTTTCAAACCCCGTGACCCACCTCATGATATTATTGTCTAACAGGAACATATGTACCAGGACATGACGTCAATTTTCGTCCTTTTGCCCTTTTTTCCTTTTTTTCCTCCTTTTTTTTCTTTTTTTTTCGGGTTCGACTGCTTCGCCGCTCAGCATAGCTTTCTTGACCATCCTATTCTTATTTTTTTCCAGCCTGGCGATCTTGCTTTTGTACCACCTCTGTAGCTTTTAGAATCCAAAACAACATTCAAGTTCAAGAGTATATGTTGGATGATGTAGCTAATGATCCACCATAGATAGGGCGGTGATCAATTTTTTATTCTGCCAGGCAACAGTAGGCGGTGAAAGTGGGTGCTCCAGCAGCCGCCAGAAGGTTCGATGAGGTACCAGCACAGTCCGGATGCTAAGAAAGGTATATAGACCAGTCGGAAGAGGGAAACGAAAGAAAGAAAGCACATTCTGACACATTTTACGTTATCCATTTATACCCCAAATTTGAAATCCCTTAGTTCGGCGCCTAAAGATCAGCCAGACCGCTTGACACTTGGTCATCGCCCCTCCAATAATAGTGGAGTGGCGTGCAAATTCTCCCCTCCGACTTCTCTCACTTTTCTTCCTTTGAATCTTCCATCTCCCTCCACCTCCCCACCTCCCATATTCCCCTACTTTCTTCCATAATGAGTGTCGTCGGTATAGATCTGGGTGCGCAAAGCACCAAGATTGGTGTTGCCCGCAATAAGGGCATTGACATTGTGCGTGTTACCCCACGGTCTTGATTCGGACTTACAGTCTTCAAGATGGGTCATGACCTAACAAATCCGAGCAATTGCGCTAACTACTTGTTGACATTATAGATTGCCAATGAGGTTTCTAACCGCCAGACCCCGTATGTCCCAAAAGACTCCCACTGTCCACCAACTGAATACTGATTTTAATTATTCTAGCTCCGTCGTTGGATTCACACCTCGCAGCCGAGCCCTCGGTGAGGCCGCCAAAGGTGGAGAAATCTCGAACCTGAAGAACACCGTTGGCTCCCTCAAGCGCCTGATCGGCCGTTCTTTCAACGATCCGGATGTCGCCATCGAGCAGGAATACAACACATGCAACCTGGTCGACGTCAATGGCCAGGCCGGTGTCGAGGTCAGCTACCTCGGCAAGAAGGAGAAGTTCACAGCCACACAGTTGGTCGCTTCCTATCTCTCCAAGATCAAGGACATCACCGCGAAGGAATTACGCGCTCCCGTCTCCGACGTCACCATCAGCGTTCCTGCTTGGTTCACTGATGTGCAACGCCGCGCTATGATTGACGCTGGTGATATCGCTGGTCTCAACGTCCTGCGTCTCATCAACGACACCACCGCTACCGCTCTCGGCTGGGGTATCACCAAGCTGGATCTCCCCGCCCCCGAGGAGAAGCCCCGTCGTGTGATGTTCATCGACATTGGTTACTCCGACTACACTGCCTCCATCGTTGAGTTCCGCAAGGGTGAACTCAATGTTAAGGCTACCGCCTACGATCGCCACTTTGGTGGCCGTAACTTCGACAAGGCTCTGACCGAGCACCTCGCTGTCGAGTTCAAGGAGAAGTTCAAGGTCGACATCCACACTAACGGCAAGGCCTGGACCCGCACCTTGGTTGCTGCTGAGAAGCTCAAGAAGGTCCTGTCTGCTAATGCCCAGGCCCCTCTGAGCGTCGAGTCTCTCATGGATGACACAGACGTCCGCGCTATGATGAAGCGTGACGAGCTCGAGCTCATGGTCAAGCCTCTTCTTGATCGCCTGACCGTTCCCCTGGAGCAGGCACTCTCCGAGGCCAAGCTTCAGGTTGGAGACATTGACCAGATCGAGATGGTTGGTGGCTGCACCCGTGTCCCCGCTATCAAGGAGACCATTAGCAAGTTCTTCGGCAAGGGTCTGTCCTTCACCTTGAACCAGGATGAGGCCATTGCCCGTGGTTGTGCCTTCAGCTGTGCTACTCTCTCCCCCGTTTTCCGTGTCCGTGACTTCGCCGTTCACGACATTGTCAACTACCCCATCGACTTCACCTGGGAGCAGTCTCCTGAGATCCCTGATGAGGACACCAGCCTCACTGTCTTCAGCCGTGGCAATGTTATGCCTTCCACCAAGATCCTCACTTTCTACCGCAAGCAGCCCTTCGATCTTGAGGCCCGCTACTCCGACGTCGAGGCTATGCCCGGCAAGGTCAACCCCTGGATTGGCCGCTTCTCCGTTAAGGGCGTCCAGGCCGATGCCAACAACGACTTCATGATCTGTAAGCTCAAGGCCCGTCTCAACCTGCACGGTATTCTCAACGTCGAGTCTGGATACTACGTCGAGGATATGGAGGTCGAGGAGCCCGTCGAGGAGGAGAAGAAGGAAGATGACATGGACACCGACTCCAAGGAGGAGCAACCCAAGAAGACCCGCAAGGTTAAGAAGCAGGTTCGCAAGGGTGATCTCCCCATTGCCTCCGCCACCGGCGGCTTCGACCAGGCTACCAAGGAGGCCTGGACTGAGCGCGAGAATGCCATGTACATGGAAGACAAGCTTGTCGCCGAGACCGACGAGAAGAAGAACGAGCTGGAGGCCTCCATCTACGAGCTCCGTGACAAGATCGACGGCGTTTACTCCGAGTTTGCCAGCGAGGAGGAGAAGGAAAAGTTGAAGGCCAAGCTCATGGACACCGAGGTGAGTTTCGAACCAGCATTCGTCAGTAATTATTATGACCGATCATACTAACGCATCATATCAGGACTGGCTCTACGAGGAGGGCGAGGACACCACCAAGTCCATTTACGTCGCCAAGATGGATGATATCCGCTTCATCTCCGGTCCTATCATTCAGCGCTACAAGGAGAAGGTCGAGGCCGAGCGTGACGCCGTCCGCAAGGCCGAGGAGGAGGCCGCCGCTAAGCGGCGCGCCGAGCTCGAGGCCAAGAAGGCCGAAGAGGACGCCAAGAAGAGCGCCGAGGGCGATGCCGAGATGAAGGATGCCCCCGCTGAAGGCGAGGCTCAGGGCGAGACTGAGGAGAAGCAGTAGATGCATTCCATTTCATGATATTGGAATGACCTGATGTGTTTGCTTTGGGTTGGGTACGGAAAACCTGATTCCAAAAGCCGCGCTTTACTCTGACCTATTGGGGTGGATCGCAGCGTTATGACGAAAAGGACCTTTTTAAAGAGATGTTTCATGGAGCTAGAGACTTTGATCGGCTTTTAATCGTTGGCCAATTTTTTTTTTGTTCTAATGGCAGACGGTTATGATGTAGATCGTTCCTGTTCCCTTTGATGTTATGAATAGATGAAAATATACTCAATGCCTTTGTCTTCAACTCTCGGGACCTTATAGAATAAGTGTCGAAGTGTCTCATTGCTAGAGCGACTTGTCCTTCGACTTTGAGATGCAAGTCTTGCCATCGCTGCCAAGTATCAAACTCGCTTTCCCTCTAACCTAGACTTCACAACGCACCAACCCTAGGCCATTATGGCTGAACTTCTACGGGGACGACTAGCTATGATAGCAAGCATACCTGTGTAGGTAACAATTCAAATGGGAGGAGACAGGGCAAAGACTAACACCCACGTGGTGCTTGTTTGTGGTGAAGTGATAGAAACAGCCCTATCACGGTCCTAAAGGAAGGCTTGCCGCAGATACCGTAGAGGGAATGACAATATTTCACAGTTATCTATCTAGGTAAGGAACAAACCATTCGGATAGTCGTCAAAGACCAAAAGCAAAACTTGATAAGTTTTCTTATGCCTCCCCTCTCTGCTTGTGACATACAGTTCTCTCTCCCTGTGTCTTTCCTCCTTCCCCCTCTTCCCCATATTTCTTTGACAAGTCACTTCTTCTTACACCAAACCTCCCAGGTTTCAGTCTATCCCTCAAGAATGGAGCAAGACCAAGATAAGCGGATAATACTTCAGCTTCTTCTTGAGGACCTGGATGATCTTGAAAACAGACAGAAAGGAAAACTGACTGGAGGAAAGAGAACAGATCTTGACGTTGCCATCGCGAGCCTGAGGGATGATATTCGGACCCTGCAAGTTTCCATCGAGGACGAGATATTGGCGCTTAGCACCAGTACGGCAATCGCCACCGACCAAAAGGTAATAGCAGCTCTTCAACACGAGGAAAGAGTTGCTAAAGGACCGCCAATTCGCCCTCGCTCTGCACAACGGAGCCTCAACCTCTGATTGCATTGAAAATCCATTAACGGCGAACGAGATCTCCTATGACCATGACGACGCCGTTTCCATTGCGATGGGGGATCTCATGGGCCGGGTGGCTCTGAGTGACAAAGCATCCAATAACGGGGAAGGCTCCTCGCTCATACATCCATCCCGAGCAAGTAGTGGTATGAGAGACAGCGGTATGAGAGAATGTGCTTCCTGCTTCACCAAAGTCGATTCCATAATGTTCAAGGGTTTGTGTGGCCACGAGTTCTGCCGCGACTGCACGAGACAGATGTTTCTCGGTGCCATCAAAGACGAGGAGTTGTATCCGCCACATTGCTGCGGCAATGTCGTACCACCTGGAGTTGCTTTAAGAATCCTTAACTACGAGGAGCTTCGACGTTTCAGCGAAAGGGCCCTTGAATGGACCGCGAAGGACCGCCTCTACTGCGCTGAGCCGACATGTTCGAAATTCATTCCTCCCTTCGCCGTTCAACACGAGCACGGCACCTGCCCCGAATGTCACCGGCAGACTCATGTACTATGTCGTTCACTCGCCCACCCTCGTGTCGATTACCCAATGGACGAACCTCTTCACGCTGTGCTGGAAATGGCGGAAGCTGAAAACTGGAAGCGGTGCTTCTACTGCCGAACTATGTAGAGCCGCACCACGGCTGCAATCATATGACCTGTCGGTAAGCAATGTCTCTTACAACAAACATATGATAGTACGTGACGAGAACTAATGCCGGTAGCTGCGGCCGCGAATTTTGCTACGTGCGTGGCTTGGTCTGGAAATCATGCCAGTGCCCACTTTGGTACGAGAACAGGCTCGAGGAAGTGGCAATCCGAGCAGTAGATGAGGAGGTCCCGGCCAATGCCGATATCCATGTTCGCCAAAATGCGCTTCACCGGACAGTCGAGGGCCTGCGGCACCACGAGGACAACGGGTGCGACCATCACAGGAACTCGCAATGGGTTTGGCGTAACACTGGAAGATTGCAGTGCGAGGTCGCCAACCATTATCTGCCTGAGTACATTTTCATGTGCACAGGTTGCCGGATGCGAGCTTGCAACCGTTGTCGACGACACAGATTGAGGTAGTTCTTTGCTGCTGCTAGTGGCTTGCAGGCCTGTTATGTTGCAGGAAGAGGCGGGGGAACCAACTGAAGGACAGCTGAAAGACATGGGCTTATTGTGGCTTTTGATGACTGACTTTCGTAGTCAACGCGGTCTTCATGGTAGCAGTGGGAGGAAGGGTGTCATTTCCAACTGTCGATTTGTCGAGTTCCTCTTTGAGCCTTAGGACTTCGAGCCAATCCGCATCTGAGCATATCAGACTTTAAGTTAAGCTAGTATTTGCAACTCATGAGAACCTCTTTTTGCCTCATTCGACCAGCGGACATATAATAGTCATGCAAAGATACTGTCTGTCTAGCAGTTTTCGCAGTTCAAATTAATTATCTGTCAATTTCTGGGTGTATGCCTTTAGGTCAAACAATACCTTGTCTAGAACTAACTGTATAATAGGCACGTGTCACAATCATGCTGTCGATTTCATGGAAGCATTGTCACTGTCGGTGAAAACCGTGATCGTTAGAAATCAACATGCTTGTTTTGGACAGCGATTTGAAAAAGTGATTTATGACCCAATGGGGTGACTTTTGGGGCGCTCTGTTTTGGCCGATTTGGACGCTCTGTTGTCGACGGAGTTTGATCAGATCATGGTAACTTGCACACTGCCAACCCCAGGGCCATAGTTTGGATGGACATATCCAGCATCGCGTAGATGCTCCCGAGTCTGAGTGTCTCATTAACCCCCTCAGTAGAATTGCGACTGCCCTCAGTCACTGAGGCAGGTGTTGATTGTCAGTCGTAGGCCACGTTAGGTATAAGGATTGTTGTCGTCGGCATAAGGTCGCCAGGAAACCTCATTTTGGCAACCGCACGCAGACGACATCGACCCAAGTACTTAACGCAGCCTTGCAGTCCATGACAAATAGTCGAGTCTTGCGTCGGTGACTGAGGATTGTCACATTCTACTCCGGGGGGTAATGAGACACTCGGTCTCTGGGCGTGCGTGCGACGTCGGTTGGTTCACGTACCGTCGCCTTGTTAGATAGTCTTCACAACCCGCGCTGGCTTTGTGGAGAACTTCTCTTCAACTTTTCAATGCATGATAGCTGATTCGCCTTTGATCAATAGGTGCAACAATGGACCAAGTGGTTTCTGAAGGTCCGTCAGTACTGCACGCACACTACGAAGGCGCAGAGCGGCTAACAGACGCATGCCTAGTAATATATTCTAATCAGTTAGGCTTAGTTCTAGACTGGCAGGAAATTGAGATACCTGAATTACTATGACAGAGACCCTACTAAGTAGGGTACGTAACCTTGGAAGTTCTCAAAACCGCCTTTTAAAATAAGCAGACAAAATGGAGCTATTCCCACCATCTCCATGTTCATCCAATTCCGGACGCTTGAAGGGTTCCAACTGTACAAACCTGCATGCTTCATGAAAATGAAGATATTCCCACCATACAGATTTGCGCGGTTGGAAAAGCTTAGCGCCTGGAATTGGATGGATATGAGGATTTGCGTGGTAGGAATAGATTCAATCATGTCTCGTTTCTGTAGCAATACTCGTCTTTCTCATTTTTCGGTTGTTCAGGGGCATTGTGGGATATTTGAAGGAAATGAGTGGATTTGGCAAAATTTTCAAAGACCGGGCAGGGATCTATGCGTAAACCAGAAAGAAAGGATGAAATGGTAGTTCTCTGATGTTCAGACGTGGAAAGATGGGAGATCTTATAGGATATGGAAGCCGTGCACAACTAAATCAAAGGGGTTCTGGATCATGATGGCCAACGGAGATACGGAGATTGCCTTTCGTATTTCATGGTGGTCTGCATGGCCCAGTTGATTTGGCCTGTCAGTATGTTTCTGTGCCTGATGACCCAGCTCTCTGCTTCTTACCTACATATGTAGGTAGCAACCTTGGAAGTAAAAGAGTTTGTCCATAGTCAGACTGAAGTCCAAAAAATGGGAAATATTGTGCCCCGTCTATATTCGCAGAAAGGTGTAGGGCCCTGAACATCGTGTTAGGTTGCTCCATACATCTCAGTACTCTGTTCAGGTATATGCAGCTTCCCATGCTGGGTAGTATTTAGTCGGGGCCTGCATGGCCTTTCTTGGCTTGGGCATGAGTGCGGTTGCCTCACTGCCTGAGGCAAATTTTCACATGAATTTTAAACATATCACGTGAGCTCTGGAAGGGCTTATCTCCGCGCTGACAAACCTATCTCCGTGGAACCAGATCGAATTCGCCAGCGCCTGCCTATTCGGGCCATATAAGCAGTTTCTTCTTGTCGCGACTTCTTCCCTCACAAGCTCCTCCCTCACTGCGTGTTTAATCGCAGCTATAATGGACTCTCCCAAGGAGCTAACCGTCCACTACCATGGGACCGCGCATATAATTCAAGTTCCCCCCTCAGCAACATTACAAGACCTCTCCTCCGAGCTAGAGCGCGTCCTAAACATCCCCATCGAGAACCAAAAGCTCCTTATAGCCCCAAAACCAGGAATGCAAAAAGCACCTTTCCCACCAACTCTCCTCGACGCGATTCTCCAAACCTCCTCCCCAAAGTTCAAGATCACCCTCCTCGGCACCCCCGCCAAAGCAATCGCCGATCTCCACGAACAATCCGCCAGCGAAAAGCGACGACAAGAGTCACGAGCCGCTGCACTAAACGCCGCAAGACGCAACAAACAAACACCGTCTTCCAGCCGTAGCGGCGGTATCCACACCCTCTCATCGTCAAGCAACAACTACACTTTCCATCGTCTCCTCCCATTATCCTACCTTCCCAACCCAGACCGCTCCCTCGATTTCCTCAAGCGCCTCCGCGACGACCCAGGCATCCGCGCCGCAATGACCAAACATAAGTTCTCCGTACCGCTCTTGACAGAAATGAACCCAGCGGAACACACGACGAGCGAGTCGCGGACGCTAGGTCTGAACCGGAATAAAGGCGAGGTGATTGAGTTGCGTCTGCGAACGGATGCCTATGACGGGTACCGTGATTACCGTACTATTCGGAAGACGCTGTGTCATGAGCTTGCGCATTGCGTATTTGGGCCTCATGACCGCGACTTCTGGGATTTGACATCGCAGATCGAGAAGGAGGTTGACCGTGCGGATTGGAAATCTGGTGGGCATCAGTTGTCTAATCAGGAGTTTTATAATCCTGATGATTGGGATAGCGTTCAGGGTGGGGAGGAGTTTGTTGATGAGTGTGGGTGGACTGGTGGGGAGTTTGTCCTTGGTGGGTTGCAGGGCGACTCGCCTGGTGGCCGGGGTGGAGATGGTGCTTCTGGTGGGACGCTGTCTCGTAGGGAAATCATGGCGCGGGCTGCGGAGGAGAGGATGAAGAGGGAGAGTCAGACCGGGAAGCAAGATGATGCTAAGTGATATCATGGCTGCTCATTTGGTGCAATATATTTTTTTTCTCATGATTTAGCTTTTGAACTATATAGCCTTCGATACCACATGTACATATTCTTCGTTTCTAATTAACTCATTTCTGTACCTTCGAGATCTTATATTTTGTCGCGTAATTAAGCTAATCTCTGTATATTTACAGCTGCTCGTTGACAAAGAGACCAGCCATACCTTGTCCAGTTCCAATACACATGGAAGTGACCAGAATCTTACTCTTTGTCCGGCGAGCCTCACTCAGAATGGTCGCGATCTGGCGCGCACCTGTTGCGCCGAGCGGGTGACCAAGGGCAATAGCACCACCACGAGGGTTGACCTTGGCGTGATCAAGGCCAAGGTTCTTAACGCAGTAGACTGCCATAGAGGCGAAAGCCTCGTTGATCTCGTAGATATCGATATCATTCTTGTCAAGCTGGAACTTGCTCAGCAGCTTAGGGATAGCGGCAGTTGGACCGATACCCATCACGCGAGGGGGCACACCGGCAACGGTAGCGCCACAGAACTTGGCAAGGATAGGCTGGTTCAGCTCGATAGCCTTGGAGCGGCGCATGAGAAGAACAGATGCGGCACCATCGGTAACCTGGCTGGAGTTTCCACCAGTGGACTTGTCACCGAACTGCGGGAACGCAGGGCGAATCTTGGAAAGCGACTCGAAAGTAGTACCGGGACGAATACCATCATCACGGGACAGAGTAACCTCCTTGACCTCGCCAGTCTTGGGATCCTTAACCTTGACAGTGATAGGAGCAATTTCGTCATCAAGCCAGCCATTGTTCTGGGCAGCCTCAGCACGACGGAACGACTCAGCAGCATATCGGTCCTGCTGTTCGCGGGGGATATCGAAGTCCTTTCCGATATTCTCGGAAGTCTGGCCCATGGGCTGCATGCAGTCGGCGGCCTCCTGGTTGCGCAGGACCTCCTCGTTGAACGGCCTCTCCAGCCGGTCGCCAGGGGCGGACATCAGCTCTGCACCAAGAGCGACACCGATGTCGATGGCGCCCAGTTGAATCTGGTTCGCGATATCCTGCACAGCTTTCAGCCCGGACGAGCAGAAGCGGTTCACTGATGAGGCGCCGGCTGTGTGGGGGATGCCGGCAGCAAGAGCTGCGGCGCGGACCATGTAGGCGGCTTTGACTTCGTTGACCTGTCTTGGGTTAGAGTATGCCATGTATAGATTTATGGAGTGAAGGAAATAGATTAAACGTACATTGCCGAGGCAGACATCCTCGATCAGAGCAGGGTCAATCTGTGACTTGGCCAGAGTCTCCTTCAACAGAGCGTAGATCATGTAGTCCAATTCTGTGTCCTTGAACCCGCCCTTACGCGCCTTGGTCAGCGGTGTGCGGATTGCTAGGGTAATGACCACATCGTCAGGGTTCTTCTGTGTACTGCGTTTACTTGTTAGACTCTAAAACAAACACAAGGTACCTCATCTGAGGACTTACATAGCAGCGAGGCCGTTGGTGGCGCCGGGCTTGAGGTGGCTCAGGAGCGAGCTTAAACGATCTGCGGCCATGATGTATGAATGTGGAGAGACTGAAAAAAGTATATAGTCAGTCTTATGTTATTCTTCCCTTCTGCAGCTTGTCTTTGGTCAAGATGGCAGCAATTGGCGCGGAAAGTTTTCGGTGTTCATGCGGGGAAGCTTCGCGCGGAGATTTGGTCGAGGGGACACACTTAACAAGCACACTCTGGGGACGGAGAAGAACTTACAGATGGTACAGAATTAGAAGAGAAACGAGGAATAATAAACAAGAAGAAGAGGAGTCAAGGACTTAAAAGAGAAGAAGTATGAAGAGAAGGGAAGATCTCCGCTTCGCCCGAAACTGCCGAGGTTCATTTCGCCCGTTAGGTTATCCGGCCAATAGGTAGCTGGTACTTCTCCGTGTGCCCACCGCCCCTCATTGCAGGAAGTACCTGATACTTCAGTGAGATCTATCGCCAGCTCTATGGACTTGGCCCGTGGAGATGCCTAGGTAACTCGGTTTGCCAAAGTGTCAATTCTGTTAAATCTAGGAAGAAATTATTCATTGCTTAGTATATACATATGCTTAGACCATGCTATTGTCCCTTCAGTTCTTTGCGCATACTCGGCTTTTCTGGGCTTGGCCACGTCGGTTTTTTTGCTCTTTTGCTGTTGCAGGAGGATCTTGAGCTAGCTGTCGTTAGTACGTCGAATGTCCCGGGCTTGGACGTGACGTATTCTGCTGCTGGTTCAAATCAAGGCGCCATCACTCACGTGGATAGTAATCGGTTCTACTGATGTGCGGATCTGTATGTATACACTCGGAGCGATAGCTAAACGATCATGCTCAGATGATATATTAATGCCGTTATTATACGAAAGAATAAGAAATAGCTTCCTAAGTCACTAATATGTACCCACCGTTATCTCCCTGCGCAGCCAATTCTCAAGTCTTCCCTCGTGAGCTTTGGGGTCAGTGTCTTCCCAGTTGTAGGAACCAGTGTGATAATTCAAAACCTCGAAATACCTTGGAATGATAAGCCCAAACCACTACGCGCAGATTGGAAAAATACATACATTTTGGTCTTCCATTGATCCGTGGTCATTTCTGAATCTAACAAAGACCAATCAATCTGTTTCTCACACTCGGGTTCGTCGTTGGAGTCCGAATAGGTCGAAAGATATGGATGAGTTAGAGCATCCACTGCGGTAGCTCTCTTTTGTGGGTCTATATCAAGCATTTTCTCCAAGAGATGAACGGCTACCAAAGTCAGTAGTCATTCGAGGTAGATATATCAGCATGTACTTCGTATCAATGAAGAGTTCAACAAGCATACCTTCGGGATTGACATCTCCCAGGGTATCTCCAATTGACCTGGTTTCTGTTTCAGGTAGAGAGTTCACAAACTCCATCATCTATAACTTCTAGTCAGCATCTCATCTTCCATATCCAACCCGGCCGTTTAGAATTCGATCATACAATGTCGCTGTAAAATGTCTCCATTATCCCTTTAGGTGGCTTGCCAAAGATCTCAGTGATCAGTTTGAAGTGATGGACATTGTCTTTGCCTGGTAAGAGAACTTTCCCTAGGAGCATCTCTGCTAGGATGCAACCAGTGCTCCAAATATCCACCGCGTAGCTGTATCTCTGCCAAGTCAACATGATCTCTGGAGCTCGGTAGTATCTTGTGGAGACATAGCCAGTCATTTGATGATCTTGTTCACCAGCTAGACCAAAGTCACAAATCTTCAAGTCGCAGTTGTCTTTGATCAAAATGTTGCTAGGTTTGAGGTCACGATGTATCACACCAGCAGAGTGGATGAATTTTAGCCCTCGCTGAAATAGTCAGTTATACTGACATTTTCCAGAAACTAGGGTAGATATACCAGCAGTTGGTAGGTGAAGAACTGGATGAACTTGTCCTCCAATGGCTTTGACCTTGATTGGATCAAATGATGAAGGTCTGTCATGCAGCAATCCATCACAAGGTAACTGTGTTTCAAAATGTTTAGTATCAAGGAATTTGGGAAATAGAGGAATGATTCACGTACAGGTCTTCCGCTGGCGAGATGAAAATATCTGTCATGTTGATCAACTGTTGGCGGTTAGTGTTCACGTTCATACATCGTCTCTTTCTCCGCACATGCATTATCATGTCTTAGATGGTTCATCAAATGAATCTCACGATACGTGCGCTTGACCCGGGCAGGGCTAGCAAAGGGATTCCCTATCTTCTTTATGGCAACCATTCGGTTGGCCACTGAATCACGCGCCGAGCTGATACTGACTGTTAGTGGTCTTGCAGGAAAATAGAATATACGAGGGGATATACCATATTACTCCAAAGGCACCCACATCTCGGGCTTGCAAGTCTGTATACCTCTCAGTGATTTGAATGGCCGTGCCTATGATTTCATGTGTGACGAATGTAGCCATGATCCCAAGGTTGCAGATGTGAAGAAGATGGAATGAATTGCCAGAATGAAGGAATGGAGGGCAAAGAATCCCCTCTATACTACCTATGAACGACTTCGTATACTAAGGTTCCAAGGTTGTTCTTCCCCGGCCTAGGCCGTGTGGTTACGTCACAACGTGGATGTTCCCATGTGGTTGGCCATGTGGTTGGCTGTTGGGCAATTTTATGTCTTTTGAATATCTTGATTCCCTCGTATTTCCACCTTGGCAGGTTAATGCTCCCCGCATCCCTGGAGTCTACGAGCCGAGCAGGGTATTGCAACCCCAATAAACCCTTATCAGCAGACACCTCTACCTAGTACATACTATGTACGTAGCTAGGCCGAGCCAGTTGAGGTATATATATACAAAGTAGTGGACGTCACTTAGCTTGATCCGTAGGAATGTAGGTTCTCTTTTGCGATTGTGTCAATCATATCGCAGGTGATTGAATGTGAGAGACAAAGTCCGATCTTTGCCTTTGAACTCCCTTTTACTCTGGTCAGCGCAAACTGACAAAGCCAATCATATGTAAAGCGTCCGTTCTCGAGTGGTTACATCATAGCGGTCCTTTTAGGAGTATTAAGTTTAATGGACTCCTTGGTATTTTGGTAAACAAAGAATCCTTGTACCTTGCATCGCATTAATGTGATTCGCAGCCAAGCTCAAACCTAAAGCCAAACACCGAACGCCATACCGGAAAGATCCCCGAGCCATTAAAGCCCATCCATTTATCCGTATCCATTACCCATGAAGTTCTGAGTGCATCAGAGCAACTGACGATGTCCAGCATCCTCATTGCTAATTACGCTACCCACATCAGACCATGCCGGAGTAGCCACACCACCGACGGATCGCCCATCAAGGTCACTAAGAGTGCCGTCTGACGTCCCATCCTCGAATCCTCCGACATGGCTAAAACTCCCACTGGTAGAAGGAGCGGCCGAAATATCATTGTGAGACTGAACACTCTCGTGGCCGAACCCATCTAGCTCAGCAAGGTGATCGCGTCCATAGGTTCTGTTGCTTGGTGCATCAGGGTGCGCATAATATACCTGCTGGTGGTCTTCTGTGTGGCTGGACCCAGAGGCAGACAAGGGAGAGTTAGGAGAGAATGGATCAAAGAGGCTATCCCCGTCGGGTGCTTCAGACCCGGGCGTGAACTGAATCATAGATTCCGAAGGATGATTCGAGGGAGCGGACGAGGGGATGTCAACATGCAGCTGATTCCGACTCAGTGTAGTCGAAGAGTCGGCCTTGATTTGCTTGCCACCTCGGCGGAGGGGCTCCGAAGTGCCCAGGTCAACTCCCGTTGAGTTAGCAGTAAATTCTTCGTTGGACTGAACAACGTATTCGTCGTCTTTTTGTTTAAGCAGGTTGCCCTCGTTGTCGACCAGAGTATCAAAGCTACTATGAGGCTGGCCAGCCTGGCTGGCCTTCCGTCGTGATTCAAGGATCGTTCCTCGTCGCATAATCTCCGCACGAGCAATCCGCCTGCGTTCTTCGGCAATTTCACCAGTCTCCTCAGTCATAGAAATGTCTTCCCTCAATGCTATGTCTTGAGGTTGGATCTCATCGCCGAGGTTGTGCAGAGCCAAGGCGATCTTGCGCCGCGAGGTGGTCACCCATTGTTTAAACTGCGGCGACTCGTAGACAGCGATGCCGGCTGCTACAAGCACAGACACAGTAATGATGAGTCCTGCATGAGATGTTAGCCTCATCCTCAACATAGTGGGGAACTGATAAGGCCGAGTACACCGCCCGGATGATCCGGGATGGAGTCCTAGAAGTTCAGGGAAGTAGAGGGCCATACCTTTTGCAAGTGGTGCTGGCATAATGAACCGAAATATAGTACTCGTGTCTTTCCTTTCAAATGTTTCCGAGACTCACCTCCGTCATCCATGGGGCGGAACAAGATGTTTCGGTGATGCCTGCACCTTATCCTTACATTACGACATGTGACCAGATAAGCCCTTATCACTGGCCCTAAGTACACACCGCTTTGGGCGAAGTTCCCCGCGCGTCAAAGTGATGGACGTGACGTGCTTGCAAGCTCCGATCTCTTTGAGTTGATTGTTGTACAATTGAAGTTGAGTGATACCATCATGTCTCGCCAACCCTCGAAGGCCCAACGGCCGTTGTCCCTCACCGAGGAGCTTGAGAAATTGGAGCAGTCCATCACCCTTACAATGCAAGGTAGGGTTACGAAGTAAACAATACAGTCCAGCGCTCATCGTCATATGTTCATACAGAGATCGACCACAATTTCAGTCAAGCTCATCGGATAGTCACTACGAGTATATTGCCTCTGGTAGAGCAATATACCGAACATTCCCGAGATGTCTGGGAAGGCTCCAAGGTCAGCGCCACCAGCATATACAGCTATAGACAGCTGTGTTGACTCCCTTTAGTTTTGGAAGCAATTCTTCGAAGCGAGTGCCAACGTATCTCTATCCGGCTATGAAGAACGAAACACGGATGAAGAAACCATGCAGGACCCTACTGCCACAGAGGAAGAGTTGTCCACCGACATAACCCAGAGCACCAACCTCAACGACACCATGTCCCACGAGAGGCCCTCTTCCCAGTGCCATGAAACACCCCGCCACGACCAGGCAGACGACCTTGATCTCACAGATCTCGCAATCTCTTCCCACAGCACTCCACGTGCTCCGGGCCACCACCAGCAGGCCGACGACGACATGACAACCTCCTCAATGGAGCACTCGTCCTCTTACGAGAACTTAAGAAGACAGGTCAACGAATCCAAGCCCCCGTTCGATCTCCCAGACTCCTCGACCCTCCCATCCACTCCAGGCCGCCAGCCCTTCTTCCCACGCGGCGTCTCCGCCACAACCCCGATGTCCTCACCATTCCTCCCGCCCGCGTCGCAGCCATCCACTCAAGACCGTCGGTACCAGAAGACCTCGGACCCGGTACTGCATCAGATGCTCGACAAGACATACCGAGTGCAGGCCACGCCGCTCGCAAAGGGATTCCGCGATGTGGCCGGCGGTATGAAGCCTCGACCAAAGTCCAATGTCACGCCAAAGCCAGCCGAGTCTACCTCCAAGTATGGATATGACGACTCGCCGATTTCCAGCCCGGAGCCAGAGGCACCACAGCTCCACTCGGAGGTTTTCTCATCGCCCATCAAAGGCGTCAATGACACACCGGGCACGAACCGCAAGCGACGGACCAGCAGCAATCGCATGCGCGGTATTCCCAAACCTGGCATGAGTGTTTTGACACCTGCTAAGAAGTCTGCCGGTAAGTCGGCTATGTGGGATAGCGACGACGATTTGGATTACGACGATGAGAATCTTGGACCGAGTCCCCCTAAGACAATGCAGTTCCACATTCCGCAGAGCCGGTTGATGAGGACGCCTGGTAAGATTTGTTCCCTTGGTTTTGTTTTTTTGATACTAGGCTCATACTAACTTCCTTCGCCTTGGCAGCAAGAGAGGCTTCTAAGCGCATCGTGACCGATTTACTGGCTACGGCTGGAGCTGGGGATGTTACAGATGACTTTGGTGACGACCAAAGTCCAAGTGTGATCCGCCGCATGGAGCGCCTGGAAGATGAAACCTTCTAAGTCGACAATGGACGAAATAAGGCTGACTATAGGTTTATCGTTTGATCTGGCCAGCATATCATTTTCATTGTCCATTACGTTCTGGTACATTGCCCATATCACAACATAGACCTCAAATACCATCAATACTACTATGACGTCATCGTCGGCGAATGCCAATATTTTGGTAAATTCATTTCCATTAAAGAGTAGAGAAAGAGAGATACAGGGCACTGCCTATAGTATTATCATACACATGGACACTGTAAAACAAATGTCACTTTTCGGGACTTGGGGGACCCTTAAGACATGAACAGGAAGACAAACGCTTAAGAAATCGTAGGGTATGTACGGGCGATGAAAGCCAAGCAATGTCATCGCCCCTCCCATCTATCATTGTTGTCCAACACAGATTTCGGCTCTTGAGGTGAAATAGGAAGAAAGTGGGCAGCCATGTCTGCAATGGACCGTGCCAAACGGCGCGGTCGTGGGGGATGAACAAGAAGCAAGAGAGTTATATCTAGGAGCTCTTCTTGTTCTTGGACTCGGTGTCCTTCTGCTCTGTCTTGGAGTCATCACTCTCATCAGACTTCTCCTCCTTCCCTTCAGCACCAGCAGCCTGCTGCTTCTCGTGATTATCATAGAGAGACTGGTGCTTGGAGCTCAAGCGCTCCTCCTCAGCAGCAACCATATCCTTCCAGAGATCGCCCTCACTAGGCTTACCACTCTGGTGAACAGGCTGCTCCTCAGAAACATCCTCAACCTTAGCCTTAGCCGCGGCCTCCGCCTTCTTCTTCGAGTCCAGCATTCCACGACCACGACGCTGGTCCGAGATCTCAAAAGCAGCCGAGGCACACAAGACACCCAGCGTCAGACCCTGCGCATAGACACGGGCCTGGACAAGCTTCTGCTGCCCGGTAAGACCGGGAATGCGACTGACTAGCGCAAACGAGCCGACCATCGAGGCAACCCAGGTGGCAGTGATGATCTTGTATTTCTCGCGGCGGGCGAAGGCAGCTGCGCGGTCGGTGAAGCTGAGTCCGCGCATCTCCTCGGCGCGGAGGCGCTCTTCACGATTCTCGTACCATTGATATGCGGCATTTTGCTCGTTCTCGTACTCACGCGAGGCGTGGTCGGCCGCGATGATACCCGTGAAGGTACCGGAGGAGGTCACCAGGAAGGATTTCATTGGGACGGTTAGGTTGCGGATTGTGGCGTAGCGACGTGAGGCAAGTAGGACACCTGCTACGCCGCCGGCGAGGCCGAGGAGGCCGCCGACTGTGCCGCCTTTGACGACGGACCTGTTGGAGGTTTGTTCCGTTAGTATGGGCTTATCGATGGGAATTGTAGGGTGCAGAGGTTACATACCTGTAGTGGGCTTCTTCTTGTTCTTTAGTGAGTAACTTCATTGTGTAAAATGTATTATTTAAGTTGAAATGAAAGAAGAGGGTGAAATGTCCGATATAAAACCAAAAAAAGCAAAGGCCGGATCGCATGACGTGGGAGCGCGGGATCTGCTCGTTTTCCGGCGGCGCCCCGGCCATTACTCGGCCATGCTCGGAACTGACTTGCCGACTTGTTGGACTTTCTTCTACTCCGTATAGATCTGACATATTTGGAATTTAATCGGATTTACCTTGTTTTGTTTCCATACGAATTTCAATTGACGAAGTTTCTGCTAATTCCACTCGGAATGCGAAGGTGACACACTCCCAAATCCCTATTCAATCCCCGATTGATCCCGAAACGCCCAAACACCGCAAAAGATATGTCACATAACGAAACTGGCCGACGCAATGTTGGAAAAGGATTTACAGCCGAATCTACCGGCGAGAGGCCTTGCGTGCCGCAGCCTGGCGGGCTTGCATCTTCCGGAAACGGTCCTCGCCGCTGGAACCCAAGGGGCGCGCAAATTGAGCCTCGCGCACAGCTGTCTGGCGCGGGACCACAGTATAGCTGACGTTGGTACGATCGACACGAGCACGGTTGAGAAGGCGGGGAGGGAGCATTTCGCGCGCGCGGGCTTCGGCTTGGATCTCCTCGGCAGTGGGAGGGGCGCGCCTGACAACTTTCCTACAGGGGTGTTAGTGTGTAACAGGGCGGCCGTACAGCAGTGAACATACGTAGGATCATAATCGGCCTCCTGGTAGACACGCTTCGAATAGTCGTCGCTGCGCTGGAGAATTGGTCGTGTCCACTCGGCCAGCAACTTCTCTGCCATTTCCTTGATGCGACGCTCAGTGCGCTTGCTCTTGGTGTAAAAGACAACCACTTTTCCAATACCACTGGCAATCAAAGCATCCTTGTTGATAGGAAGTTTGGTAATGGCGGTCAGTAGGTCCCGCTGGATGTTGTAAGCGGGCATCGCGCCATCGTCCAGAGGCTCGAGGAAGAATCGAACAGCTTCCAATAAGTTAATCTCCGGATCGACTAAGGCGCTGGTGTACTGGTTGCGATTGAGGAGCATGATGACTTCGGGGAGGAGCTTAAGCTTGTGCATAGCTGGTTTTCCTTCTTGGCGGTTGATCGCATCCATTTGCGCTGCGTGGGTCATGCGCTTGCGCATATCCTCAATTTCAGCATCTGCCATAGATTCCAAATCCTAATAGTACAGTCAGTAAACATAGGTGCGTGTCACCAGACACAACACATACAATGCCATCCTGCTTGCGGAAACGTCTCTTCGCCGGCTTTTTCATCGCCTCGTCCATAGCACGGTCGAGGGCTCGGCGACGTCCTGACGATTGAAATCCAGTTAGTACAAATTGTGTGAGGCGCAAAACCAGTTGCTATTAAGAGCAGAACATACGGGTCTCCGGGTCAAGAGCCTCCTCATCTGTATCGGGCTTATCCTCGCGCTGCTTGCGCTCACGTCGGCGAGAGCCTCCTTCGTCGCCTGCCTCGTCAGCTCGACGGCTCTTCTTCTCGCGACGACCTTCCTTTCGGCGCGGACGACTCTCGCCATCCTCAGTGCGCTTGCGCTTGTGACGACCAATGAGTTTCAAGTTATCTTCATCAATAGCAAGTTGTGGGCGGTCCTCGACGTCAACATTGTCTGGGTCGAAGTTGTCGAATTGTGCCTCGTCAACCTCGGACAGAATAGACTCATCGTCTGAAAGCTTGTCGTCATCAACTTCGTCGTCTTCG